GGCACACATGGTGCATTCAAGCTGTTTTTATCTCATGCGGAAACACAGCCCACTGACTAATCTCATGGAATGTGTCCAAAAAGGTCTTCAAGAGTCCAGTCAAGGGGACAGGTGGGTGGAGGTACACCTACCTGAGCTTTTTCCCATAGCTTGTCTCCCATTGGTCAGAAGTTGCCCATGGGTTCTCTCCACTTCCAGATATGAAACTCTGGGCACGGGGGCAATGGCTGAGGAAGCTTGTGCCCCTGTGGGTCCTTCCAGGAATGGCTAACTCATTGAGCAAGGTGCACCTGGGTTTAACTGTTTAATTACTAACCTAGTGAACAATGTCACATCGTTAATGTGCTAAACCCCAGATGAAGTTGTCCACCACAGATCAGCAAGTACAGTTAAGCCTGTGCATACCATGTTTCCCAGTCAATCCGCCACAGAAATATGAGGCTCTTGGCATGTGGCAGAGACTTTGCCCAAGTCCAAGATGTGGATTGTGGGGCAGTCACCACGCACAGGCCTGGGGCTTCCACTGAGCAGGGAGCTGAGAACAGGGGCAGGGAAGGCTAAGGAGACCTGAGGGCTGGGCTGGGTATCCAAAGCCCTGGGCCCTGAGCTGCAGGTCCCTGAGACTGAGGGTCTGTGATGAGGATGATGCAGTAAAAGAAACTGGGACAGATCACACGGGAAGGCAGCTGAGGGGCTCAGGGGGCCGTGTCCCCTAGGGAGGTTCCCCAGGTCACATTTGCTCCAGTTGTGGGAAAAGGCATTTCCTGGAAACACGCCCACCATGCAGGACTTTAGGCACATGTGTTTCAGAAGACTGCTTTAAAGTGCTCAGGAGCAAAAACGTCGTGTGAGGACTGAGGTGCACCTGATGCCAGCCATGGTATTTCAGTAGCATGTGCATGTTGGACAGTGAATAAGGAAGACCTCAGAAGAACTGATGCATTTGAGTAATGGTGTGGGAACAGAAGAGGGACAAACAAATCTGCGTGGGAAGTAGTCCGACTGCTCCTTAGAAGCAAATGACGAGACTTTCTCTCTCATACTTTGGACGCTCTGCCAGGAGGGATCCGTCCCTGGAGGAGAACATCATGTTTGGTAAAGTGACAGGTCACTGGAAAATAGGGCAACCCCACTGAGATGCATGGACACAGTGGTAGCACCGGTGGGTGAGCTCCAACCTGACAGCAGTGAGGAGGGTGCAGGACCGGGCAGTGCTGTCTTCTGTTTGTATGGAGTTGTGATGAGTTGGACCCGACTTGATGGCATTTAACCACATGCAGGGAGGTGGTTCTGGTCCATTTGTTCACATCAGAGGTTCTGTTTCTATGTCTCGGTGCCAAGTCCACAGCACCTCCTACAGAATCAGAACCTCTTCAGAGATAGCCCCAAACAGGGAGAGAACTTAGCGAGCAGGGTTAAGTAAGCACATACTTGTGTGTATGCTGATCTGAAGAGAACTTTCATGTGGGTTGTTCACCACGTCATGTAAAAGTGCTCACTACACCTCAGTAAATATGCACAGGTATGTCTGTGCTTACCCTGCTCACTGGGTGTGTTTGGGTGGACACAGCATTGGTTCACCAACATTCTTCCTGTCTGTACGTGTGAGAACTAGTGTCCACCTGTAGGCCAGCCAGCTGGGTGCCCTGCTACCATCAGCTCACCCCAGGACCCAGTGAACCAGGAGCCTGCAAGGCTGGGCCACTGAGGGAACGCCCACCCCACCTCTGGAAAGTTTAATGTATCCCGGCAGTGGATACATTAATAAGCTCGGAAAACCCAAGTCCTGAGTTGACAGAGGGTCCCGGGAGCTTTTAGAGGTTGAGAGGGAGGCGCCGAAGTCCAGAATGGACCTCGCTGTGCAGCCAAAGCCGACTGACCCCAGGGTCAGGCAGCACTTTCTAGATGCTGGACATCCAGGCCCAGTGAGCTCTGCTTCTCTACCAGGGACGGGGCCTCAGGAGCAATCAAGGTGTGCTCTGGGGGACATGCCCAGAACCACATAGCACAGCTCTGTGGAGCACTGGTGTGTCTGTGGTGTATCCTGCGTGCGTGTGTCTACTAGGTACGTAATCAGTGTGTGTGTTCATTCAGCTGTGTGTGCCTGTCTCTGTGACTAGGTTACATTAATGGCCAGGAGCAGCATTAAGGGCCTTGAATGGACCAAGTCAAACACTCATCCATTTTCCAGACCAAAGTGGGAAGTCTTAGGGCATGGCAGAGCTGATATGGGCTGGACTTCGCACCTGTTTGAGGCCCATCAGTTCTGACCCCTGCATCCCCCAGCGCTCTCTACCTCCCTCCACCTCTTCTGGTCACCTGGAGACTGTTTCTCTGTGCAGCTGCAGTCCTGTGAGCACACCCTGGCCACTGCTGTGCATTGCTGCCCGCCGAGGGGAGCCCCCACCAGTGTCCTCGTCCAACCCCAGGTCCTGGACAGTTTGTTCTTAGGATTCATTCAGCAAGCCAAGAACTTCTTCCCAATGGCACCTCTGATGGCCCACAGCATTGCTGCCACTGTCTGAGGCTCTGTTGGGCCTGGCACCCTCAAGCTTGGAGCCAGGAAGTCACCTGATGCAGCTGTCTGGGATACACATGAAGCCCGGCCCAATCATCTTGTCTTCCGGCCCATGCTAGGCGCTTCTTTACAATCTACTTTGGGCCTGTCATTTCATTCCCTAAAGGAAGAATGAGGTGGGCAGAGGCCTGTTCTTTCTGGCAGGAAGCCAGATGCTGGGGGGTCTGTGGTCCTGAACCACTGCCAGTTCCTGGGAAGCCTCATGGGATTCGGAAGATCGCTGAGGCACCCACAGCTGGGCTACCTCAGTTAGTTCCATCAACAATGCCATCTGCACCCCCCGGACTCAGAAATGGCTGCTCTCAAACATCCATGTGGCACCAAATGGTGACACAGATTGGGCCACGTGTGATTCAGCTGAGGGGACAGTCACCTACTGGAGCCACAGAGACAGGGCTGCAGAAGAAGGGCCGTTTCTGGAAATTCCTGTACCTTTAGCTCAAGCAAAGGAAAACACCCAACTTCAGAAATTCTTCTAGAAACAGAAGTCTACCCAGGCTCTGCGACAGCCCACTGAGACTGACGGACATCTGCACACCACCTACTGTGCAGTCCAGGCTGTCCAGGACATGGTCTCTGAGGAGCCCAGCAAGAGTGCCAGGTCCACGTGGTACTCAGTGGTGGGCTGCTCAGTGGTGGGCCAGGACACGCACTGTGGAGGGCCAATCCGGATCCTTCCTGGGGAGAAGCCCAGGAGAGAGAATAAAGTCCCCCCCAATGCCTCACAGAGAAAACAAACCGAGAGAGGAAACACAGAGCCCCCATGGAGAGGATGTAGACAATACAGCTCTACCACCAGAGAGCCGCATGGGCAGGTACACTGTACAGGTGGGCAGCAATGCATGGGCAGGTACACTGTACAGGTGGACAGAAAAGAAATTTGAGCCTGTGTCACCCGATAGGCAACGCAGAAATAGCTTTCCAAGCATCGCAAACAACCTGCTATTCAAAGAGGGGACTCCTTGCGCCACACGGCCAACTGCAAACTGCGAGGCTGAGGGAAGGGCACAGAGCGGCTGCCAAGGCTGCTTATGTGAGTAGAACAAAAGACGTTTCTGATAAACTCTGAACCACAATTACAAAGATGGATATCCAGTGGGAGTGGGCTGAAAGGTGGTCCCCGAAGTGTCCCCAAGCTGACACATTATTTGCAGATGTGACTGTTAAGAAATGAAAAAGAGCCATTTTATGAGGTGGTAAATCTTTGTGGGAGCAGAAAGCCTCATCTCTCTCCCGCAGCGCAGCTGGTGGGTTTGAACTGCAGACCTTGAGGTTAGCTGTCCAGTGCTTACTCTACAGTGACACCAGAACTCCCAGTGATTCTCACAGCTCCTGTTAAAATGTAGATGCTGATTCAGTGTATCTTGGGTGGGAATGCAAATTGTTAGCAGGGGTCCACCTGGAATGAACTGGTTGGAAGCCCTGTTTGGAAATACCTCCAGGGATTCTAGAGGAAAGAAGAAACAGATGGGCGGAGGGACACGAGAGGCCCCTTTGTTGTGCCTGTAACAAGGACACCCTTCCTGAGACACAGTCAGAACCCTGTTCTGTCCCAGGATGGGCACAGTACAGGCAGAGCACCGGTGCTGCAGCTCAGCGGTAGGAAAGGGCATCAGTGAGCCGGGGAGGGATACTGAACTTGGTGGTTCTCACCATCCCCTGACATCACTGCTCTTCCTCCAGCTCTCTCTGCAAAGCTGGGCCAGACTTGGAGGTGAGCAGCAACACCTGGGAAGACAGCGCAACAGAAAGCCCACATTCCAGTCCACAGAGGAGGTGGTTCCCCCCGCAGCTGCCTCCCACAGGAGTCGTCCCAGGTCACAGCAGCCCTGGGGACACAGCTGTGGATGAGCCGCCATGTCTCCCCAGAGCTTTTCCTCTTCACACACCTTGAGCCGCAGGCACCTGGCACTGGCTCAGTAACTGGACTAGACCACGGAGCCGCAGGCACCTGGCACCGGTTCAGTAACTGAACTAGACCATGGAGCCACACCGGCTCAATAACTGGACTAGACCATGGAGCCGCAGGCGCCGGCTCTGTAACTGGACTAGACCATGGAGCCACAGGCACCGGCTCAGTAACTGGACTAGACCATGGAGCCGAAGAGCACTGGGCTCTCGTCTCCAGGTGAAGTTACTCTCGGAGTCTGAAGCTAGTTTCTGGCCAGGTCTGAGTGTGCTGTGCTACTCCAACCCTGTGGGCAAAGCTGACCAGGGTTCCCACCAGGAGGACACTCCTATATGGTGCCCAAGGATGGCAGCCCCCACAGTGTGTCCTCTGCCAGTCCCAGGGAGGGTCTCTCCAGGGGCATACCCAGACTCAATGGGTCATTCTGCTCCAACAAGAACCCACCCTGAAGCCTGGCAGTGACTCCTCACCCCACCCCCAACTCAAGGGCCCCTCACGTCACCCCACGTGGCTTCAGCGGCTGGCTCTGTGGGTGTCCCGGTGCCAGCGCAGCACCCCTGCCAAGCCAGTGCCTTCCTGGGCGCTGATCTCCACCGTGGTGATGCTCTTCTTGGCACAGGCAATGATGTCTGGGAGCCTCATTAACGACTTCATCTCCTCTACGGTCATGTAACAGGGCAGGTCGCTGGGATGAAAGACGCACCTGTCAGACGGCAGCTTCCCCAGACCCACCTAGAACCCCAGCCAGACCCAGTCCCTACAGAGCCATTAGTTGGCTGGCTCCATTTGGGGGCTCCGCCCTGGGGCGCCCTGCCTCCCTCGGCTCACAGACCCTCCCTCACGTTTTATTGAAGAGTATCAGGACCGAGGCTTCTGCAAGTTGCTCCGCGGAAAGGAGACCCAGGAGGTGCGCACAGGACCCAGAGATCTGTGTGGGGTCGGAGGCGTCCAGCACGAATTGGAGGAGGAAGACGGTGAGGTCAGGAACGGCCACAGGCTTCCTCCAGAGAAACAAGACTCTTAACCAAGGGCTCTGGGGACAGGGAGTAGGGTCGTGTGGGGTGACTTGTGTGGCCATCATTTCTCCAAGAAAGAATCTGAAACGTGGGGCCCGGGCCTTACCAAGATGGTACCAAGCAGAGGGATGCAGACGTCACACATGAACATACAGACCCGGTGGGACAGGATAGAGGGGCTTGGGCAGCTGTCTGCAGACTACCAACGCTGCCCTGGGGCCAGGCTCCAGCCCAGGGGAGACTAGGCTTTAATCTGAGGAGGAGACTCCCCCAGGGTCCCATTTTCCTGCATAGCATGGCCATCAAAGAATCCACACCTGTCCTGAGCAAAGCCAGGCCCTGGGCTAGCAGGGTGGAACATCCTGGGGTTAGGACGCACCAGGAGAGCGCAGCAGTTTCCGTAGTAACTGGGCCAAATGGGGCCCATGCACGCCCCCAGCTCCCTGATGGTGAGTTGTCTCTGGACCAGATGTCGGTGAAATCGGTGCCCATTTGTGGGAAAAGCAGAGATGGCCGTACCAAGCCTTTTCCCGGTCCATCCTGGTGGGACAAGGACCCGAACAGTCCGCTCTCAGTGGCTCGGCACTCGGCTGTGCCAGAAGCTGTCCCGTGGTTAAGGGACTCGCCCTATGGACAGTCGTGCGTGGACACCAGCTCCTCGGTGGGCGGAGGTGGCTGATAAATAGCAATTTCCCGGAGACTCGTTCGCCCATACGATGTTCACGGGCCGTGTCGGGGAAGGGTCACCCAGGTAGCCCTTCCAGTCGTGGGCGCTCACCTTTGAGCGCGGTGAAGGAGCCGAGTGGAGCCAAAAGGAGGGAACCGGGTGCCTATCCAGCCCCAGGCCGGCGCGGAATGATATCCTGCACTCCTTTACAGCAGCATCTTACCTACGCCAGAGGCTCCCAAGAGCAGACAAGTCGCTGAGCTACCGTTCCGGCACCCGTAGCTCGGCGCCCTGGCAACGCAAGGCCCGCCCCCCCTCATTGTCATTGGATCTGCCCCGCATTCGGAATGATTATTGGTTTTCGGAGTTTACAGTCTTGGACTACACCAATCAGCTCACAGCGTTGGAAGGTTTCCCATTCTTCACCCCTCTGGCGCTATCCTGGTCACTGCGCGTGCGCGTGCTGCTGGGTAGGCGGAAGCGGAAGCTGGGGGGCGAGCCAGTTTGGAGAAGGAGCGCAGCGGCTGTGGGTCCGGGTCTGAGGTCGCCATGGGGCGAGGTAGCGGCACCTTCGAGCGTCTCCTAGGTAACGCGTCCCCCCCCCCCACTCCCGTCCCCCGCACCGCGGATCCGGAGCTCGCTTATCGCATCCCCGCCCGGGGCTGAGTCAGCGGGGTTTGGGCCGCAGGATCCGCCCTGTCTCCCGGACCGGGCCGAAGACCGGGAGGCGCCGCGGTCCTGTCGGGAGGCGGGTCCGGAGCCTCAGTACAGATCCCCGGGTCCCGAGCGTCGCGCGGCTCTTACGACGTTGCCGGTTCCCGGTCTGTGTCAGGGTTCTCAAGTACCTGGCGGCCGATGCCCGCAGGTGTGTGGCTGAGGGTCCGCGGAGAACGCGGGCTTGACAAGCCGCCTCTCGGGTTTTCCCTCTGATTTCTTCGAGACGGACAAATGTGCAAATTCTCCCCGGTCCAAAGCCAACCCAACACAAAAATACAACCGAGATTCTGGTCTGTCATCAACAGCGCCTAGCCTAAAGCACCACAAGTCCTGAGTCACGAGTGTATGTGACTCAGGCCAGTGCCAAACCCGACAGTTCAGAAAAGGCGGAGGTTGCATGCACTTGGGTCCTGAAGCAAGCATTGGGCCCCCATGCGCGGAACTTGTAGTGACCTCCCAGGCTCCTTGGAGTGCTGCTTCCTGGGGAGCCTGAGCTGTCCAGCACCTGAAAGTGCCCATGGGTCTGGGAGGCAGTTCCTCTCTGCATCAGGACTGTAGAATTGGCCCTCTTGAGCTCCCGAGTGAGTTCTCAGTCACAGGTTTTAGGAAGGACAACAGGTGTCCCTTTGGGATGCCGTTATGGTCATCCCAGAGTGCTCTTTGTTGGGCACCGTCCTGACTCAGAACCTGCAGGGTGAGTATCTGAGCCTTGTGCTGTGGTCCAGCATTGAGGAGGTGTGGTTCAGCCAGTTACTGAGTCAGTTGGAGCATGGGTAAGGCTCCGGAGATCATCCCAGGTGTCTCCTGTGGCAAGCCACAGGCTGTCTGACCAGCTGGGCGGCAGTGGCAGAGAGGACAGAATTGTTAGTTGTCCTGAAGCCTAGAACTGTGTGGTCTCTGCAATGTCTCTTTCCAGCCCTCATCCCCCCCTCCCCGAGGTCTGGCTGGATGTCCGGCCCCAGCCTGGGTGGCCAGCTCTCCCCATTAGGAAGCTGGGAGCCTGGCTTTGAAGAGGAAGCCAGGCTGTATCTGCTGCAGCTGTGCAAAGTGGGGTGATGGGAAGGCAGCACCCACAGGAAGGCATGTGAGGAAATTGGGGAGGGTTCAGGTGGGACCTGTAGACAGTACACCATGCTGGGCTCTCCGGGGTCTTTGCCATGTGCCCCACCTCTCATGAAGGAAGCACATCACGGTCACCTGGGGTCCAGGAGGGTTTTGTCAGGTTTCCATCTGGTGTGTTTACAGTGGGAGGGGGAGTCCCCCTCCCCATTTGTGAGCTGGAACATTGGGACTCCCAGAGCACACTGGACCACTCATGGGCACCCTTCTCCCCAGACAAAGCCACCAGCCAGCTGCTGCTGGAGACTGACTGGGAGTCCATCTTACAGATCTGTGACCTGATCCGCCAGGGGGACACGCAGTAAGTGAGGGCCTCTCTTGGTGGGGGGACACATAGTACGTGGAGGGGGTCTGCATTCAGGTGTGAGCTATGCAGTAAGTGGGGGGGGGCTCTTTGCTCGACTGTGGGGGCAGGCAGTGTCTGCCTTCAGGTAGGGAGACTGGTAATTGGAGGAGATCAGGCGGTAAGGGGGAGGTCTGCGTTCAGGTGGGAGACGCAGAGTGAGTGGAGGCCCTCACTTGCTGGAGAAGGCCTGCAATCAGTGGGGGACACGCAGGACATAGGAGGCCTGAGCTTGTTGGGAAGCCACTTGGTGCTCCTGCCTGACCCCAGGCTCCTTGCCCAGTGGGTGCGGCCAGTACTGGGCCCTTGGAGGGATGGTGTGGTCTGCAGGCTGTGTGGTGAGTTCGGAGACAACTCAGTGGTTTTCTCCGTGTGATACGTGGTCACCTCAGCAAGACCCTTTAGGCAGGTGGGGCCTTTGTTGTCTCGGTTGCCAAGATGTTTCCTGTTTCCCTTTCTGCCTCTGCTCACGCGCACCTCTTTAGGGCGAAATATGCTGTGAGCGCCATCAAGAAGAAAGTCAATGACAAGAACCCCCATGTGGCCCTGTACGCCCTCGAGGTGACACAGAGGAGTTCTGGGGGTCTGAGAGGGGACGTTGGGGAGGATGAATCCTGATACCACCCCTCCTTGGCTTGCAGGTCATGGAGTCGGTGGTGAAGAATTGTGGGCAGACAGTCCACGACGAGGTGGCCAACAAGCAGACCATGGAGGAGCTAAAGGAGCTGCTTAAGGTGGGTACTGCCAGTGGACACTGCTGGGCAGCAGCCGTGGCGGCCCCTCCTCGCCTGGCCACTGACTGAGTGGGGCTGAGGTGCAGAGAGCAGCAGTACCGGTGGCTGCTCAAGCATGCGCACACCCAGGTCCTGGGGAGACACTCCCCCTCCATGCCCCTCAGGGGTCTGGACCAGTCCCCAGGTCCCCTCAGAGGTCAGCATGGGGGCCTCCCCAAACCCTCCCCAACACAGGGCTTCCTCAGATCTGTGATCTGTGGCGCCCCCAAGGCCATTTGTGCCCCCCCCCAAGGCCATTTGTGCCCCCTTTCCCCACAGAGGCAGGTGGAAGTCAATGTTCGGAACAAAATCTTGTACCTGATCCAGGCCTGGGCACACGCCTTCCGCAACGAGCCCAAGTACAAGGTGGTGCAGGACACCTACCAGATCATGAAGGTGGAGGGTGAGTTGGGGTGGGGGGTCCTGTCTGCTGCGCTGTGCTCTGGTGGCTGGTGGTCTCTGGGGGCAGCCTAGCAGGAGCATCATGTGACCAGTGAGGGGCAGGCTCATGCCTTTCTGGGCCTCACTGGAGCAGGTCACACACAAGGCTGAGGCCAGTGGACGCTGCTTCGGGCTGATCAGGCTTTGGGGATGTGAAGTAGGGGTGCCTTAGAGCCTGTGGGCATGGGGTGCTCTGGGCCAGACACAGGACACACTAGTCACAGCAGGGACCAAGCCGACGCAATCCATTGGGGGTACAGAAAGACAGCCGGTGAGCAAGGAGGATGAGGCTGGGGCGGCAGTCCTGGTGGCAGCTGTGGTACAGGCGGTGGACAGAGGCAAACAGGACATGTGTGCAGCAGGGAAGGAGGCAAGGGGTCTCTTGGGCCTTCTCCCACTCATCCTGCATGGCATTGTGTTGCCACTGAGGAGGAGGCGTGGAATGTGAAGGTGCCAGCCTCCAGTGAGTGGGGATATGTCCAGATCCTGGGGGCGCTGTCCCGAGACACCAGATGCAGACTTCTGCCACACACTTGTGTCTCCTTCCTGACTGCCTGCCAGAAAGCTTGGCTGGGAGGCCCACAGTTGCTGATGCGGCACCCACACCTGTCCTCCAGGGCAGTGGAGCACCAGTGGTGGGTCTGTCAGGAAGGCCGCTGCTGAGAGTCCTCACAGGTGCTGTCTTGAACCCCGCCAGGGTCATCCGAGGAGTTCTGGGTGTCCTCTCACGTGTGTACTTGGGGGGCAGTGCTGAGTTGGGATGTGATTCCAGTCTCCTTTATCCAGGTCACGTCTTCCCAGAGTTCAAGGAGAGTGATGCCATGTTTGCTGCAGAGCGGGTGAGTGTGGGGACTGCTGGGGGAGATCTGGGTGGGCCCGTCTGCGGGATTAAGGTCTCTCCAGCAGCGCCTGCAATGGTCTGGCAGGAACGTGGCATCCTGGGACTGGGCAGGGCGGGCTGGTGGCTTCTAAGAGGAGTCCCCCAGGGTCGGGGTGCCCTTCCCATCCAGCATGTGGAGGAAGTGGGTGTGGGCGCTCAGTGCTGACCCTGCTGCTCCCCAGGCTCCTGACTGGGTGGATGCTGAGGAATGTCACCGGTGCCGAGTGCAGTTCAGTGTGGTGACCCGGAAGGTGAGCAGGCCGCGCCAGGGTGGGGGTGGGACGACCCTGAAGGCACCAGCCACCCACTATGTGCTGCGCAGCCTGGTGGATTCCTCTCCGTGGCCTGCCTGGTACCTGGCATGGCCTCTGGGCCTGCTGTTCCTGGGCTGCCTGACCGCACAGACACACGAGGACCCCTGTGAACGGGAGGCTTGTGTACTGTCCTTCCCCACCCCTGCCTGGGCCCGAGACAGTGTGTAGGCACACAACGGAGGGAACCTAGAATGCGTGCGTGCTTTAGCAGTGAAGTGTTTGGGAGGGGTGTTGCTTTTTTGACCAACGACCTCCTTTCCCCAAAACAGTGTATGGTACTGGCATTTTTGGGGCTCCCTGTCCCTTGGGGCCTCCAGGTGGAGAGCCTGGCCTCGAGCTTGTCCAGTGGGTAGTCCAGGTATGGGTGGAGATGCCTCCTGACCAGGCATGTCCCCTCTGCCCTGTGCATAGCATCACTGCCGGGCGTGTGGGCAGATCTTCTGCGGCAAATGCTCCTCCAAGTACTCCACCATCCCCAAGTTTGGCATTGAGAAGGAGGTGCGCGTGTGCGAACCGTGCTATGAACAGCTGAACAAGTGAGTCCCCGTGAGTCCCCGCACATGCTCCATGACATGGGCTTCTGTGGGCAGAGCTCGGGCCCTCCTGTACCAGGTCCTGCTCGCTAATGCACAGGAGGGCAGGCCTTGCTTAGTGCCCACCAGACTTGGTGCAGGACCTAGGAAGTGATCGCACTCTGCAGTCCTGTGAGGCTGAGAACAGGCGCAGCTAGAAACGTGGTGAGAGGGGCTGATTGTCTGCAGAGCAACGGGACGGCCCGTGCTACTCTTCCATCCACCCCCAGCTTTGCCATCAGTGAGACAGCACAGCCACTGGGGGGGCGTGCCCTGTGAGCCGTGCAGGAAGACTGGCTGCCTGGGACTCTTCACTCCTCAGGGCAGCATAGGAGCAGGCGCTCTGCCAGACAGAAGAGGGGTCAGTGGTCAGGGTGGTCCAGGGTCAAGGGCCTTGTGGCGGACATGACAGAGCTGACTGCCTGTCTGAAACTGCGTATGACCTGAGGGACCCGCGCCCTCCTTCTTGGGATACTGATGGGACCTGGGCTGTCGTTGGCAGTCAGTGTACTTGGCTTCATGGCCTTATCTCACCAGGAAAACAGAAGGAAAAGCTGCTTCCACCACCGAGCTGCCGCCGGAGTACCTGACCAGTCCCCTGTCCCAGCAGTCCCAGGTGTGCCCCCCACCCTCCTGCCTGCCC